GCCCAGTCAGAGTCACAATAAGCATACAGTCTGAGATCACTGTTGGTGCTCAAAATGATACCCTGGCCCGGATTCCCTTTGAGGTGTCGGACCACCCGTAGAGCTGCATCCCAATGTTCTTGTCATGGTTGTTGCATAAATTGAGCCAATATATGCACAGAATAGCAAAGCTCTAGCCGTGTTATAGTAAGATAGATTAATCTCCCGACTAGACATCTATATTTTTCTGGGTCATCAACCAACTTCCCGTTGGCCAGTGCGAGTCGATGATTTTGTTCCATGGGCAGATGAGCCGGTTTAGCTCCTAGCAATCCTGTTTCTGAAATAATATCTAGTGCATACTTTCGTTGATAGAGATAGATGCCCTCATCTCCTTTGGCAACTTCAATGGCAAGAAAATACTTCAGCATCCCAAGGTCCTTCATGTGAAAGCACTGATCAGATACTGCTTGAATTGATGTATCATCTCTCCATTGTTTCCTCCCACAACAAGATCGTCCACATACACCAAAACACATAGTGTAGCTCCGTCCTTATGGTAGGTGAATAAAGAATAATCTGAGTATGATAGAGTAAATCCATACGTCTACAAGGTCGTGCCCAATTTGGCAACCCAGTTTCTGGGTGCCTGTTGTAATCCGTATAAAGATTTGCAAAAGTGACATACCTTTCCTGAATGTGTAGATGAGAAACCGGGCGGCAATTGCATGTACACCTCTTCTGCCAAGTCACCATGCAAAAAAGAATTATGCACATCTATCTGATGAAGCTCCCACTTTCGTGCTGCCGCTATAGCCAAAAACAATCGAATAGTCACCATCTTTGCCACTGGAGCGAAAGTCTCATTATAATCTATCCCAACCTTCTGATTGTTCCCTAAAATCACCAATCTAGCCTTGTGTCTTTCGATCATTCCATCTGAGTTATACTTGGTCTTGTACACCCATTTACACCCGACCGTTTGCTTCCCGGGGGGCAATGATTCAAGAGTGCAGGTGCCATTACGCTCAAGGGCTTCAATTTCCTCTTTCATTGCTTGTCTCCAATGTGGCTCACGAATTGCTTCTGAAAAATATGTGGGATCTTTCCCTGCAGTTATAACTGCCAAGAACTGTCTTTGTCTCAAAGAAAAATTAGTACAAGTCACATAACGTGTAATAGGATAAGACACACCTGAGGAGTGGCATGATGTGGCATGATCAGCGAGGGGGTCGTTGATGCATTGCGCCGTGTGGCATACATAGTCCTTCAGCTTCTCAGGAGGACGCCTTTCCTTACATCCTCGGCCAAGGTTTTCACCTTCACTGTTACTTTCCAAGTTCACGTCACCCTCTCTCTGTTCATTAAGAACCTCACCACTCCCCCTTGCTTTCGGAGTCAAGTGTTCTTCAGGAGTTGGTTCATCATTCAAAGTATCTGCACTATCCAGCTTATGATCATCAAAGCATTGCACATCATCATTACAAATAGATGGTTGCTCGGTCACACCGGTGCTGAGTGATTCAGAGAAGCAATCTTATAAGGAAAAATATGTTCAGAGAAATACAACATCATGAGATACAAAGAACTCATTTGTATCTAAGTCATAGAGTCTCCATCCTTTCTTGCCGAAAGGGTACCCAACAAATATGCACCTTCGATTTCGAGAACCAAACTTGTCTTTGTCACGCCTTTGATAATGAACATAACATAAACATCCAAAAACACGAATATGTTTGTAAGTTGGTTCCTTCCCAAACAACAATTCACAAGGACTCTTTCCATCAAGTAAAGGACTTGGAGTATGGTTAATCAAATATCTTGTAGTCAATACACATTCACCCAAAAAACTCATTGGTAAATTTGCCTGAAAACGCAAAGCGCGTGCAACATTCAGAATATGGTGATGCTTGCGTTCCACCCTGCCATTTTGCTGAGGTGTCTCAACACATGATGTTTGGTGAATAATGCCATGAATATCACAATAATTACTCAAGGCTACAAATTCCGACCCATTATCACTCCTTATTACCCGAACCTTACTGTCAAATTTGGTTATTACCATGATACAAAATTTCACAATGTTAGCACTAACTTCACTCTTTTCTGCCATCAAATAAATTCACATTGCCCGTGAGTAATCATCAACGATGGTCAAAAAGTATATAGCACCACATGAAGTAGGAGTACGGTATGGTCCCCAAACATCGCAATGAATCAAGGCAAAAGGTGCAGAAGCTTTATTATGGCTCAAAGGAAACACATTACAGGTTTGTTTAGCTCTTAAACAAATATCACATAACTCACTGTGTGTTTCTTGACTAGTAATTTTATTTTTAATAGTAGGAAGTAGACTAACAACTCGTTTTGAGGGGTGTCCCATTCGCCTGTGCCACAGTTCATATGAGTCCATCTTTGCCAGCCTGCATGCACCAGTCCTTGCCACACAACGCCAAAGATAGACCCCATCACGCTTCTCACCCACACCAATCACTATCCTCGAAGTGGGGTTTTGCATTACACATAGTTTGTCAGAAAACGTGACTGTACATTTTAATTCATCAATAAATTGAGACACAAATATCAAATTGCAACTCAAGTTGGGAACATATAAAACATGTTTTAAGATCAATCCTTTCCCAAGCTGCACTTCTCCTTCTTGCAACGCCATCATATTCTTTCCATCAGGAAATCCAACGGCACAAAGAGGGATTTCATGCATATTCTTCAATAGCTCCAAATTCCCGGTCATATTGTGAGAGCATCCCGAATCTATCAACCAAATTTTCTTACCCATCAATTTCTCTGAAGTGGATTCCTTGTGTGAATTGATCATCACCATTAGCGTTGCCCACTGTTCATCATTAAGTCCGGGAAAACCAGCTTTATCGCTGGTCCGAACAGCCGCAACAGTGGTATTGACGCCGCAGCTTCCTTGTGTCTGGACAGCATTGGCAGCCGTTGTACTAGACCCTCCTCGACCCCTTCCAGTTTTCGTGCCTCAACCTCCTCGTCCCCCACGACCACTAGAGTGACCTCCTTTGTTTGCAAACCACTAATCTGGGTAGCCTACAAGCTAAAAATATTCGAGCACCTCATGTCCAGTCTTTCCACAGCGAGAGCACATCTTCTCATCCTTGTTCGTAGCTTTGGTTCTATTTCCAGTTTGGATAGCAAATCCCACAGCCTCTTCTCGTTCTTCACGTGCTCGAGCCACCGTTTTGTGCCGTTCCTCTTGCACAATTATTGCATATATTCGATTCAATGAAGGTAAAAGATCTATACTTAAAATATTTGACCTAACAGTGTCATAAACTGCACCGTCAAGGCCCATGAGAAATTGATGAATTTTCTCCTTTTCCCGCTCCAACGCTAGCTCGGCTGCCGCTCCACACTTGCATCCACTACAATGGCATTGTGGGTTCTTCACATACCTAGCCAACTCCTCCCACATGGTCTTCATCTTCCCATAATATGTAGATACGGTCATGCCTTCTTGTTTGCAATTGGCCAAGTCACTCTTTAATTGGTGAATTCGCAGATCATTCCCAATAATATGTAGATACGGTCATTGTGGGTTCTTCACATACCTAGCCAACTCCTCCCACATGGTCTCCCAAAGTTCCTTTGCTATCTCCACATAGGAGATCGTAGACTGGTGTCTAGGTTCTATGGTATTGAATATCCATGCTACCAACATGGAATTCACACTATACCAATCTTCTAATTCGCTAGAATCATCACCAAGTTTCGTCACATTACCTTCAAGAAAAACCAATTTCTTCTTTGCACGGAATGCGTTCTTAATGGCTTTGGCCCATTCATCATAGTTATCGCCTTTCAAGACGATAGGTGTCACGACCAAGCCGGGGTTGTCCTGTGAACCAAGATAGTAAGGAGATTTCGAATCAGCCATAGTGTAAGTATGACTCTGATACCATAAAGAATATTGGAGCAAACTGCCCATATATATACAAATACATCAAGAATAAAAATAGCAAGAATAAAAATTAGTAAGACTAAAAATTAGCAACTTCCTAAAACTCTAACTTCCTAAAAGTCCATATGCACAAAATCTTTTTAAATATCTTACAATATCTCTATTAGAAACTAAAATACAGAAATGATTTGAGACTAGAAAATTTTTTCTTTGTTGATAAATCATGTAAAACATCTAGCTATTGGTATTTTAACTTGTAAAAAATCAAGAAAAATATCAACAAAGAAAAAATTTGTAACGCTTCTAGATATCTAAATTAGGGATGGTAATTTTTAGGTACCCGACTTCCCTTATCCAATGGGGTTGGGGACGGGGATTGTTTTGGTGAATGGGGAATATTATTATATATAATATTATTTATATTATATATATGTATATCAAAATATATTTAAAATATTATTTATATTTTAATTAATTTATTTATTTTAAAAAAATATAGTTAAAAAATTTTGTCCCTATCGGGGTCAGGAATGGAGGGCAACTTTTATCCTCAACGGAGATTGGTATCTGGTGCCATTCCAAATCCAAATGGTGGAAGATTGAAAAAAAAAACAAAAAAAGATAGAAAATAAATGCATAATAGTTAGTTAGGTTGTGTTTGGTTGCCATGCAAATTTATTTGCACTCATACAAATGCATGGGAGTGCAAATGTAAAAAATGCAAATTATTGTTTAATTTGGTTTTGGATTTTACTTTATTCTGCTTTTTATGTCTTAATTTATTTTATTTATACCACAATCAAACAAAATAATTTAAAATTTGAAACAAAAATGAGTCAGGAAACAAGCAATAGCTAAGAGAGATGTTAGTCGATCATTTCTGCTTTCTTTAGGCATTTTTGTCATAAGAAAATATGGATGGGGACATTCTTCGTAGCGGTGTGGACAGCTCTCAACTCGGCTCGGGTTGGGGTTTTGTCAAAATTTGAATGGGCTGCCCCGGCAACATATATAAAAGGGTAATGAAGCTTTTATTTGGATTTTGGACCAGGCCCGCCACCCAAATTTCCATGGCGTTGCACTTGCACCCTCTGACCCTCACAAGCCGCTTTGTATCATGTGAGTTGGATTGGAATGACTCGGTAACCCGGTTTTCTTTTAGAAAAGGTCTCAACTCTTAGTACAGCAGCGTTATTTTGATTTCTGCGATCCGATCCATGACCTTAAAGATACCAACCTTTCTTCGCGGGTAAGATTTTCAATTTCTGAAGAAATCAAACCAGAAGCCAGAAGGACTTTCAGAAGGCTTTGCATCGTTCTTCACTCATCCTTTCCTTTGGGTTGGAGGAGACCGACGATGGAGGGCCAGGCGGCAAGGCAGATCAGTGAGGGAAATAGAGAATCGCTTTCTGCAACTCCAAAAGCCATTCTTTTCTCTCTTCCCTTCCGATCTTTATACACATATCTCTTCTTTCTGTTAATCTCTCTTCATTGCGTTCTCTCCACAAACAAACACAAACCCATAAACCCAGAAAAAAAAATCAAAACCCCGTTTGAATTTGTAAGCTAGCAATTATGTCTGTAAGCCCTCCTCGTGTAAGAGTCAATGGCATCAGGAGCTACCGTCTTTACTGGTGTTACCAGTGCCAACGAACAGTCAGGGTTGCCGCTTCCATCACATCTGAGATTTTCTGTCCCCGTTGTTTCGGTCAATTCCTCCATGAGCTCGACGTGGCCAGGCCCCGGTTTGTTCTTAACCTCTCTGGTCTCGATTCCTCTCCTGAGGCCCGGTTATTGGAAGCCCTGTCTCTCATGCTTGACCCCCCAATGCGTCGGCCTGTTCATGATTTCGATGGGAGATTTCGCTTGGAACCGGAGGCTGAACTTCGGGATCGGCCCAGACGTTGGATTATAGTCCGACCCACTAACCGTCCTCGTCCGACCGGAACGATGTCCCCGCCGGAAAATCTGTTGCCCCAGGCTGCTGGCCCCAGAGATTACTTTGTCGGACCAGGGCTGAATGAACTGATTGAGGAATTGACCCAGAATGACCGACCAGGTCCGCCTCCAGCACCTGCTTCAGCCATTGATGCCATGCCGAGAGTGAAAATCACAGAGATCCATTTGAAGGGTGATTCGCATTGTCCAGTTTGTATGGAGGAGTTTAAGATTGGTGAGGAAGTTAGGGAGATGACGTGTAAGCATGTTTACCACTGCGACTGCATTGTTCCCTGGTTGCAAATTCACAATTCTTGCCCAGTTTGCCGCCATGAACTGCAGGCTTCCTTTGACAGTGATCTTCGTATTGACGATGTTGCGGATTCTCGAAGGGAGGATGTCAGTAACCGCCGCCGGTGGAGGTGGAGTCAATTGTTCTCTTTATGGCCTTTTCGATTGTCTGCTAACGGGAGGTACCGACACATTCACTCTCAGGATGACAGCATCACTGCTACTCGTAATGGTATGAATTGAATTCCAAGCCAGTCACCAGTATCATTCTCTTTCAAATTTCAAATTTTTTTTTTTCAGTTGTATGCTTTGATTTTTCAGTAGCAATCTGGTTTTCGTTTATAGTCTGAATTTCAGCTCTGGATATGCAATTGATCTTTCCAAAAGTGACACTCCTAGCATTGCTTTCTGATGCATACTTATTGAGTTTACAGTTCGTTTCTACTTACAAATTCCTTTTCTTACGAAGGAGAGTAGACCTAGTTTAATTTGCTAAAATGTGTTCTGCTTTCCCAATGCTTTATGGAATTAGGTAACTTGTTCTGTTGGTTGCTAGGCAAAACAACTGTGATGGATGGAACCCAAAAATAGTTATCAAGATGATCTTGTTAATTTGGCTAATAGAATTTTATAAACAGTTGGAAAACTTAAAAGTGTTTTCAGGGTGCAACGGTTGTTTTTTTCTAGAAAATAGTGAGGTAGGAAAACTTAAAAGTGTTACTTAAGATGATCTCAGAGGTAAACTGAAGCACTTGCAGCATTGTGATAAAAAGGCCATTACCCAAGTTTGGTCCTGGCTATCTGGGGTCTTGCGATTGGTAGCGTCAGTAGACTGGGTATGGTCCTAGCCTTTGGCATTTTTCACATAAAGAGGCTGCCCTGAGACTAGAATCTGCAATCTTACACTTACTAGCCTGAGATTTTACTGTTACTCCAAGTAATGATCCCTACTTGCAGCATTGTCACAGATAATTTTTAATACTGGCCTAACACCACAATTCTAAAAATGACAAATGACTTTATTAAGAAGGCTGAAAGACCCTGCAAAGGATACCTGTAAAGACTGTTGGCCCTGCAAACAATACTGTATTCTGATCTAGTGGCTAATACACTTGGCCTGTTCCTAGTACAAGACTAAAGAACTGTGGATCAACCAGGAGTGTAATCTGATAATACACTTGTTCCTGCAACTTTGCTGGTTCTTGCATATCGCACTATGCCATTCTAAGGAGGGGCTTATATATACCCATTTAGGTTTTTAAGTTAGAGAGTTCCCTCAGATTATGGAGAGCAGTTAGTAAACTTCACTTGGACCTGTTCAGCCCGCTGGATCAATGGACTAGTGTCCAACTAGGTAGGATTTTATGCGAGAATTTCTCAACTACCTAGCCAAACCTTTGACCATGCCAAGAGGGTTCTCTACTGACATGGCTAAAGCTTGTTTCCAATCGAGGGCCTCTGGCCACTAACCAACAAAGGCGACCTATAGTGATCTTGACACTCATTTTGTAATTGGTAACACTAGTGAGGGTCACTCTGTTGATGATAGGTCAATGTTCTGTATAAGTAAAAACATTCAAGATGTTGGGAAAAGACATATAAAAGTTTATTGATAGAACCTATTATCTAATGTCAGTTTGTAAGATCCTGTACATTTTCTTTACATTTTCCCTTCATGGATGACTTTATTATAGGATTTCTCTGGTAGGTGTGTGGTCTTCCTCTGTTGTTTTGTTTTAGATGAAATCTACATCTATTATGCTGTTAAGGCTGAATTCTCTGAGTTCCATCTACCTGTTTCCAGCACACTCCTGGTGGCGTTCTTGGTTTCTTCTCTAGACTTGTATATGTTGCTGCTTGCACTAAAAGCAATTTATGTCCATGTTAGGACTGAACTGTTTCTTAGACAGGTAAGTGTGACTAATTTGAGCTGGCACTTGTGAAAGATATTGATACATAACATGTGAATAATATATTGTAGTGTCATTTTCCTCATTGAATGTTTTCAGTGCTTCTTCATATCTCTTTTCTCTTGTCTAAATCTTATATGTGCAAATATCAAGATAGGTTATGGGTGTTTCCTTCTTCTTTCTGGTAATATATCTTCTTTTTCTCAATTTGTGTGTTGAATATTGTATTTTTAAAGAGTGTTCAATGCAAGGTTTACCTACTTGCATTTTTTTTTCTTTTTTCATTTCACAGGTTTTATTCTTCCACAAGGGACATATCTTTTCTTGGGTAGACTGTAGTTTGGCAGGCTACTAGCTTCACTCAAGTAGGAGTGTAAACGGATCGAATTTGAATCGGATCAGGCAAATTCCGAATTCGAATCCGATATTGGAATTCGATCCGATATTTGACGAATATTGAAAATTAATATCCGAATTCGAATCCGATTAAATATTCGAATATTCGATTCAATTCGATTAATTAATTATTTTAGATAATTAATAAATATATATGTTAAGATGTGTCGAATAGGGGTAGTTTAGTCTTCTTTTGTTTATTAAGTAACTTGCTTATGTGGCTGTGTTATTAGAGTTACTCTGCCCCACACTTAAGTAAGGGCATTTCTGTCTTTGTAAACATGATTAGAAGCTAATATAGATTAAGGGGGTCGACTGAATGGGTTAACCATCAGATTTT